TGTATGTAGTTTTCAATATTCCGTTTCCGAATATTATATCTGATGTAATAAAAAAGGTGAACCGATTTGTAAATTAACAATAAGTCAACTATAATATGATCTATTTTAGTTTTTCGTGTTACTTTTAAATATCCAGTTCTACGTTCCGAAAATTAATTTACGTTTTTTGAACACGCACTGTAATTATATATTTAACTAGCTGTACCGCGACTTGGTCTGCGTGGGAGAGTATATTATAAATCTATACGATAATATTATAATGCAGAAAAAAAGATTGTTTTTTTTACATCGAGTTGGTTCCGAAATTACTGCATCTAAACTACATCATAACCGAGTTATAATTGACGCGGTTAGTTAACAACAAGTTTATTATATAGTGTGACAACTTATTTGCGGTATGCCTGTGGGATGCAGGCAGGGTGAAGGCAACACCGGTTGGCGATAATCGAAACTACTTTCTCGTTCTCTATATTGGAAAATCCGAGCTGTATAAGATCGAGCACATTTCTCCATCAAAGGAAGTTTCGGTCTAATACCATACTGCATGGGTGTTACCGATTGAAATAAAACATACACTAATTATTAACGAGAGATTACCAACAATGCAGTAATGGAAGTTTACAACAATGCAGAAATGACTGACCCGATTTAAATGCAGTTGCATTTAAATCGGTTCAGTCGTTTCTGAGATTGGCGAAGCTCATTGCTTTGTGTTCTATTTCGTTTATAAATGCCCCTTATAATAGTTTTTTTCATATATCTTCAATATACAAACATCAATAAGCTAACATTTCAGTTGATCCAGTCCAGTGGTGGTGGTGACTGTTGGAGTCGCGACGCATCATCACTTTCCTTTTCTCGATTCAGTTTTTTTTTCAAGTTGACTTTTTAAAGAATTTGGTATTTCTATTATTACTTTTTTTTAAATTTTTAGTTAATTTTAGACACCAATCGAAGATTTTGGTTGCCTATATTCTAAATTAAAATAACTCTGAATTTTATAGAAAATTTATTACCTTAGCTATTTTAATAGTGTAACAATTAAAATTACCCTGTTTCTTTCAAATTAGTTTGCCCTATATGTCAGATGTTAGTGTTCGCCAACAGCTTATATAAACTATAAAAATATAGCAAATTTCACAAGAAGAACAAGAAAACAAACAGAAAAATGTGTAAAAAGAAACTTACAGATGATTTTGTAATACCTAGCCAGTGCTTCTCATTTTTTTTACCTATTAAGGTCTGGTTCTGATTCTGGTTGCCGCTGCATTGAATTGTGAGAATTCCCAATCTTCGTACTTAGGTACATTGACTGATAAACATTGATGACTTTTACCTCACGCAATCGAATAATGGAAAAAAATATATGTTTATAAAAAAATTGTCACAGTTAACAAAGGTGAATTTAAAAAAAATACAAATTTTTTACCACTTATTTTTTATTTATTCTCTTGATTGAACGCTCTTTATGGGAAAATTAATAAATGTGCGAGTTATTTTGTCGGCGAGAGGTTTTGGGCAAACTGTTAACAACAATTATTAAATAATTGTTCTTGAAGTTTAATACGCCCTCTCTGTCCCTATCTACCTCATTGACCGCGTAGACTATATCTAGTTTACTCTCTGTCTTTACACCTAGCCTTAAGTATATATTCCTCATTTCATATATATTCATTATAATTCCCTTTCATTTTCATAAGTCATATGTCAGTTTTATTATCATCAACGTCATCACCAGCCTATTAATTTCCCCACTGATCGGGCCCAGGCACTTCCTATGGATGGAATCGAATACGGAATATGGGCCATTACCCACCACGCGGGCCCAGCGCGGATGGTATTAACGGCTATGTAGCCGGGGCCAAAGGATTAGCGTGCCTTCCAAAGCATGGAGAAACTCGATGTAATAAACTTTTGGTCTTAGCCCTCGCGAAAGTTGCATAACAACCTTATCACAGATTAATCGAGAGCGCTTACAACTGCGTCACCGAGCTAGGATAAAATGTATTGTAATATAATAACAAGCTCAAGCTACTAATTTTTTGGTCATTCATCCTATGACCAGCCCATGGGAAAGTTGCCTAATAATTATGTTAACCTTATAAAAAAAATCTAGATCTAATTAGTCAATTACAGATGCTATCATGCACTAAAACTGTGTTTAATCTATGAAATTCTTTATTACTTCCTTTTTTAATAGGTGGTTCTACCCATATCAATTTCCTGTAATAAAAAAGGATGAGATCGCTTATTTATTTTTTGCTGACTCTACTTAAAAATTATTTCCTTCCCATAAAGATAGAATGAGTCAAGTTAATATCCATAATGCAACTAATGGCAGCCAACGAGCACAACGGCTGCAGTAATCACTTAAGCCGCACCTCGGCCGTATATCAGCCTTATTGGACTCTGATCGCTTTTTTAACGATATGCTCTAACCCTTATAAAAATCAAGTTCATGTGTATGCACATTATAAACATTTTGATTATATGAAACAATTACTTGATTTGACAATCGAAAAAGAGAAACTTATATGTTCGACGGCGATGTATTTTTTATAAGATATATACATTTTCTACAAATTTATCAACATAACTTTATACAGTTGGGTTATTATAATAGGCCACATTTGATATCTCTCACCCTCAACTTCAAAGTAACCTTGTAATGTAGCCAACATTGATTATATTTTAATTCAAATTACGGCAACGGTACGTTTGCAATTTTTTTGTTATTAAAATATATTTATTTTTATAATATAAAACAAAAGCAATTTTAGGTTTTACTTAGACCAATAAACTTTTCTTAATATTATAAATTAATTACATTATTCTAATTAAACTAAATGCTGCTACAATATTCTGTCTATGGACCAGTTTTCTTTTTAAACAGAAGGGACGTATCCAAAAACTTGGAAATATTGTTTGATCGACTCGGAAGTTGATTTGATAATTATCTATGAAAACAGGAACAAATAACCTTTTGGGACTCTAATCACCAAAACATTATTTACATAATTATGACGTAACATATAAACCATAAACAATTCCATTCTACTTATTGTTTTGACCTAAAAGATTTGCTACATATTTTTAAATTAATTCGATTCGTTAAATTAATAGAAAATTTAATAACTATCAAGTTCAGATTGATAGACGTCATATGTAGTAACTTACTTCTTCTCTACTCTTTGTATAGGAGAGTAAACAAATATGAGGAGAGTAAAAAAATCAGTGTTCAGTTTTAATGATAGTATACAATACTACTAAATTTCTACCTAAATTATTCCCAATTAGGGAGAAGTCAATTTTCAATAAGTCCACCAGATCAGTGTATTATTCAATTTTAGGGTCTTATAGCCAATTTTTTTGGCTTACTTCTAAATTTATAATGAGAGCTTTCGTCTAAATAAAAATGATTAAGCAAGGAATTTCAGTATATTATTCAATTTTAAGTTACTTTTCTCTACTTTAATTCTTAACTTATGTGTTATAATAAAAGGGTATATTTCTTGAGTTCTGATTGTATTCATGTATAATATTATAAACAAACTTCACAATCGCGAATTCTATTCCATAGTTTTATAGTCAATAGAACGCAATTGTTACATTGATTGTTAGTTATGTGGTTATGTTATATTCAATTATATTGTATTTGTTGTAATAATAACACCGTAACCTCATCACGAGTGAACACTTAATCTCAGCAAAATACCACTCGGAACATGAATATATGATTAAGGTACATTATCGGTAGTGCCTGCTTGCAACATGTTTATACCGGATAATCAATTGTAAATACGTACCTCTAAAGCTTTGTTTAGTTTGTTACAACTTGAGATGCATGTATTATTAAATAGATAATATATCCGATAGATATAACCATTTATTGAAGACAGATATGTTTTGTTATCTTTTCCACGTCTAATATACGTTGTATTAAAGCGCATACTTATAAACATAGAATTTTGACGGAAATCAAATAATCCACAGTATTACGATACAAAAGTAAATTAACTAGTAAGGATGATAACAAGTAGATTATCCCAAAATATTTAAAACGATTTTTTTTTTGCGTAATCAATAAGTTACGGCGATAAATTAAGTTGAAATGCCGCATGACATTTAGCTTTTTTACATTTTCTACAAAACTGTGACGTACAAACCCCGACTCCTCAACTTTAATGCCTATTATCTAACCGTTTCTTGTTATAATTGAAGATTTTTCTATTATCTGACTAACGGAATATATACATATTATTTTTTCATCATCCATATTAACTGTCTTTCCTTAATTTAATTTGGAATGAAGAATAATTACGCTTTCGATTCAATATTAACGATAAATTAATTTGCCATTCGTAAGGTATAAATGGACGTATTTCTTTTGTATGACTCAAAATAATAAGATATATCAAATTCATTTTTCAATGCCATCATATGAAATACGTGGGGTCCAGAATCTATAAAGAAAAAAAAATATGATGAGACTTAAATTACTACTTTTGATTTCATTATAATGACGGGGTCGGCCTTGAAGGTGAACTTTCGTGATTTGTTTCGCGAAACACAATACGAAAAGTTTGAAGTGATTTATAATGTAGCCTCGGCTAGCTTTCAGCTTCCAATACAAAGGTCAAAATATTTTGAATTGTGAGCTAATTTAAAATGAGATTTAAAGACTTATAACGAAAGTCCTATTTTGTTCAATAAATTATTTATTTGTTACTTATGAGTAATGAATTCATAAAATGCTAAGAGTTATATAGTCCAAATTTTTCTGTATTGTATATTTTCTTTCTTTAATGCACTAGCCGGCAAGGTCTTTACTCAATTTGTATAATTTTTTAGCCTGGTAAAGAGTTCTTCCTTAGCAATTGGACCCCCTATCGCGACTGCATTCCTAAGAATATGTGGTTTTATTACGTTAACGTTTTATTGTGCAATAAAGTATATATTAGTTCATTATTGTATACTGATTTTGATTTGTCTTGTTACAGACACGAGCTGTGAGTGCGCCGGCCACTCCAGCGACCTCTGCTTTTACCAGAGAACAGGTAGACTTATTAATTTATTCTGACTAGTATATACTTACCTCCTTTAAAATCCTAGTAATATAAGTATTGTTCAAATAGATGTTATACAATAAATAAGTCTATAAACACAAGACAATGTTTAAACATTAATTAAAAATATTTGGTTATATTATCAATTATTCATCTAGTACACAGAAGTAAAACGTCAAATTGAGGCGTGTGGATTTATTTTGGTCGAATAATGGTTTAATAATAAAACTAGATGACTAAAATAATAATAAATACAAACTCCTTTGGCATTAGTGTACAGTATGCAATTTTTATACATTATACACGTAATTTAAAACCTGATGGTTCTTAATCCATACTCAAGTTCCTTAAGTCGACTAGACAAATCGGATTTAGTACGTCAATGTCGAGCCGAGCCATTGCTGCGCCTACGCATCAATAAGTATCACTTTCTCGTCGCCCGCGCCTACGATCCCATGTTTGATCTGACAACTACTAAGCCAACCCAAATCAGGGCTTTTCACTATTTACTGCGACACATCTAATTTTGTTTAGCATAATGACTGTAATATTTTAAGAAATTCTTTTATATTGTAATGACCCAATAACTTTTAATAGTTAAAAAGGTTGTGGATACTTCAAAATCTTTACCTATTACGTGCATTAACATCGTTTATCTAACGAAATATGACGTCAAGCTGATCAAAATAGAGATATCATCGAAATTTACATAACACCAAAGAATGTAGCATTAACGGTATTTAATGTGCACATAGCATTTAAGAATTTACATCAATCAAAAGGTTTATTAGTCGGCATTTGTATGTTGACAGTTATATCTTCGCTTGAGAAGTTGTTACCCGTCACCTTTTGCATGTAACGAAATGGTTTTATTTGATAGAACGTATTTAATTACTTACACATTGTGTTACTTTTTCTCTAATTATACTCTTTTGACAAAATTAATCACAAAACCTTTAAATTAAGTCATTTATTAACGATCTTTCACTATTTTATTAATTGATTCCAATTATCCATTAAAAAAATTCATACTATATAATTGATTTGTTTTTCCGCAGTCGGGTCCTCGGTCCGCAAGTTACCCCGGCAGCGGTGGATCTCGCCTAGACTTGTGCTACGTTGCGGAACGTATGCTGGCATTACATCTCCCGGAACGGGATGCCCATGCGGAAGCACAAGCTGCGCATATGCTCACCAACAAGCATGGAGACCACTTTATGGTGAGTATTGATATATCTCAAATAAAACAATTCTAAATATAAGTAGGTATACAAGACTAATTTATGATCAAGCAAAGTATTGTTCACATATTCACATCATATTTGTGACATATTCTTGAATTCTTAGAAGACTAGCTGATGAAACTAATCTCAGTGTAAATTGTTTATTGTAAATATACACTCGGCTTCTGAATTAAATATTCAAAGTTAACCACGTCTCAAACTGTTCTTAAACATCACTTAAACTTTTTTTAAATAGTTTGATAAAATCTAGGAAATTATGCCTTGTGAAAAGTAAAAATCTAAGTTAGATATAAAAATCTACGAATAATCAGTGAAGTTTTTTTACTTACTCAATTCAGAAACCGATTGATTAGTCTGCATTATAATGAAGTTTCAATAAAAACTGCACTTTTTGAGATAATTATGATGTTTCATTTTATAAATAACATTTGACAATGTTCTATGACTGTTTCAGATATTCGAAGTGAGCAGTGGTGATGGCAGCGGAGACGGACGGATAGCACGGAGTGTATTCGGGCGAGCTAAATCTTTAGGTTGGGCAGGAGCACTGGCGCCACCTCTCGAGCGATTGTGTGCAGCCTGCAAACATATAGAAAGTTGGCTTGCTGCTCATCCAAAGAATGTCGCCATTTTATTAGCATGGTAAGTGCGGCAATCCAGATTAATAGTAGTAGAAAATTACTTCTGTTTAATCAAAAGTTTATTTTTCTGCCTCTACATAACAGATTTTGCGACATTCTATTTAAATTACTTAAACCTTGTGTTGTGTGTATACTTTATAGTTTCGTTTTTACAGGGGTAACAGAGAGAGGTTAGGTGTACTAGTTGCAGCCTATATGCATTACTCAGCTATATGCGGTGCGCCTGAGCATGCTCTAGACCGATATGCCATGCGGAGGTACCTTGATGACCGAGTGCCGGTTTTCCAGTTACCCTCAAATAAACGGTACGGAGCTCAATGATTTCTTCTTACTTTTTGAATTTTGTACTTATAAGTTTACCTTCCTAATATATCACAGCATAAATGTATTTAGCTGACATGGCACTTCTAGCTTGCGTCGGAGTACACTCGCTCACGATCGCCAGTCGTTATCCATCACACCTCAGGGTAACTCGTAAATAACCGTTTTCAGTAAGCAGTCAGTTTTTTCCTTTGCAACGGTCTCTTAACACTCGTTATTTGCCCACGACTGCCTAAATTGTAGGCTATGTAACCCGCTTATAATGTAGCTTGTCATAAGTGAAATAATTTTTAAAACCGGTAGAATTTCGAAGTGTATTCAATACAATCAAACCATCATTCTTTATTTATTTATTTTAATTTTAATGGAAAATAATGTTATGTTTAAATTACAAGAATTCTCCAACGTTATTCTATGATTGAATGTTATAACAATATTTTGTTATATTTCGAACCTTATTTCCAGATACATAGATACGTTTGCCGGTCTCCTAGCTGGTCAGATCAGAGTGAACGCTTCTCCACTTCATTTGACGCACGTGAGCGTGGCAGGCTCCCTCGCCTCTCCAGCCTCTCCTACTATTGCCTTCTTAAAAATATACGAAAACTTCGCATGCGTTTACACATCAGGTATGTGTCAGAGACAATGTATCAAAATTAAAATAATATTCGTAGAGAGCATCATTATTGCAAAATATAAGCGTTTGTTACGCTCCCATAACATAATAAAATAAAATACAAATAAACAGCACAAACAATAAGTAAACAGCCATGCTATTCTATTGTCTCGAATTCGACGATGAAATCAGAATGTCGCAGTCTAGATCTTCAATTAAATAAAACCTTACCTTTTCAAGTAGGTTTTAATGTCATTAAATCTCTGAATCATCAACGAAGTCCAGGTTTTATAACAGAATAGCACGGCAGAAAATAATAATAACTTTGGAATAACAAAAATATATATTTATAACTACTCGTACACTATATCTATAGTAAGGTAAAAGTGTGCTTAGAGTTACTATTCAATCGAATAAAATACTTCTAAATATTAGAGCAACTTGACAGTTATATGTCAACAATTAGGATGTTCTTTATTTGTCGAAAAGTAACCGTTCTTGTATGGCTAATAAATATCATATTCTCCAGGTTTATACATGGTGAATGGTGGTGGATGGACGGTGGGTGTAGGACGGCTAGCGTTACGCGGAGATGTCCTAGTGAGAGCGTACAGAAGGCCCGCGCATGTCAACGCATCGCATAGGAATTTGGTCTTCGCATGCCAGTTCCACACATGCGCAGTGGCAGACCACACACTATCTTTCACTAAGCAACAACTTGACCACGCTGCCCACGGTAATTGATAAATCATATAATTAGACAGGTATAATAATAATAATAATAAATCTTTATTTGGTGCAGTAGTTACTCTAATAAATAAAGTTTATCATTAAAATCCGCTTAAAATCCTTTCCTTTATCTACTTAAAATCCCCAGTAATGGGGCACAGTCAATATCGACGATTGCAAATTTAGTATCATGTAAATTAAAAATATCTAGTGCCAATCCAATTGCAATTAGTTTGACAGTGGAATCGATATTAGTTATGGAAATGATATGACATTTAGTCCTATGGAAAATGAAATCTGAATTACTCAATCCAATAGCATTTTTTTCAATCAAATAACATTATTCATTATTATGCTTACCTTGTTAAAAAATTAAGAATTTTATATAATTTCATGTTTATATCTAATAGATCCGTCGTTCCCGAGCGACGGTGCAGTAGAGCTAGTATTTGCAAGAGGAGAAGGTTCAGGGGGTGCAGCCCCTGCCCCCACGCCCGCCGCTCCCCTCCGCGCTGCTCCCGACGCATTAGCTAGAGCCGATTCTTTGGAACATCTAAGGCCACTCTCTACACTAACTGATGATGACCCTGGTAAGTACCAACTATTAGTATATAGCAGTGATTAAAAACCACAAGTAGGAGAGGTTCGCCGAAGAATGTTTCCTTGCATATTTCTACCAAAATTATACTTGCACAATCATTTCTCTTGCATTCATTGTTTAGACTACATAGAGCAAAGACTTCTATATATACTACTAGACAAGTTGTTCTAAACGAAATTTCTACGAGCGCGCGTGGGCAGTGCTGGATCTATGATATTTTATATTACCATATTTTCGCAGTGTAAGGAAATAAACCAAATTATTGTCCTCTGTCGTGGGTCAATCGTTGAATTGGGTCGATCGAGATCTGCCCGAGCATATCACGATATGCCGCCATTTCATGATTTGTCCATTTATCATCAGCTATATGGTTCAATGATTAACGTTTGATCATTTACCCGATTATATTCAGGCCAATCGATTTTGTAGTACATTATAAGTAGATATGGGTAAAAACGTCCATTTAGGTGGTAGGAGAATACTCGGGGTCTATACATATAGACCCCGAGTATATGTAAGCAAATAAAATGAAGTTAAAATAATTATTATTTTACTGGTAAAAATGAATGCAAAGTCCTAAGTAAAAATAGCGTGTGAATAAGGAGGCCTATACCACAGAATATACGAGGGTCAAACTGAAAGTTCTTAGAACTGGCCACTTATAAACAATATAATAAAAAAATAATTCTAAAATTTGAAAATATAACTCTTTGCCAATATTACTGAGTATATATTTCATTCATTTGTCATTTGTTTTACGATTTGGCGGCAAATTGAAAATTGTCTGTGTCACGTCATCATGAATTTAACACGAGAAAATTTTCGTGCAATGATTTTTTATGACTTTCGATGTCATTTAAGTCAACAAGAAAGTTATGATAGACTACGATTGGCCTTTCACGATGAAGCCCCATCTCGTGCGACTGTTTACAACTGGTTTAATGAGTTTAAACGTGGTCGCACTAATCTCACTGATGATTTACGTGAGGGACGGCCTTCTACGGTGACGACTGAAGATAACATCTGTGTTGTGCGGCGTATGATAGAGACTGACAAAAGAGTGACCTATCAACAGATTCGGACAAGCTTAGGCATCGGTATGAGTCAAGTGCACAAAATCCTCCACGAAAATTTAGCGGTCAGGAAGCTTTGCGCCCGGTGGATACCTCATAATTTGACTGAGGCTCAAAAACTCCATCGTGTGGATTGGTGTCGTAAAATGATTGAAAGATTTAACGGAGGTGACTCAAATGCTGTGTTCGACATACTAACAGGTGACGAAAGCTGGATTTACTGTTATGATCCTAAAACCAAAAGACAATCTGCTCAGTGGGTGTTTCCTTTCGAGGAGTTGCCAACTAAAGTGAAGAGAGATCGAAGTGCGGGAAAAAAAATGGTGGCCTCGTTCTTTGGAAGGATAGGTCATTTTGCAACAATTGTGTTAGAGGATCAAAAAACAGTTTCTGCAGAATGGTACACTACCAATTGTTTGCCACTTGTCTTGGAAAAAGTTCGAGAGAAACGACCTCGCAGTAGGATCCTCCTTCACCACGACAACGCCTCGTCGCACACCGCCAAGCGAACGATCGACTATTTGGCGACATCAAACGTTGAATTACTGGGTCACCCGCCGTATAGCCCCGACCTCGCGCCTTGTGATTTTTATTTATTTCCAAAAATTAAAGAAAAACTTAAAGGAAAGCGGTTTATGAATGCTGAAGAAGCGGTGGCTGCGTATCGCGATGCCATTGAAGAGACCCCTAAGGACGAGTGGGCAAAGTGCTTTTCCCAGTGGTTCCATCGCATGCAGCGGTGTATTGACGTGAATGGACAATATTTTGAAAAGATATAATAAAACTAATAACTGGCTAATGTAATCAGTTTTTGATTTTCTAAGAACTTTCAGTTTGACCCTCGTAGTATGCTTTTACCCAACTTATGGGTTACGGAAAGGCTGATAAAAATAAAGAAATTCAGAAGACATAACTGTGCTCGACGTCGAATTAGAAGCTGTTCTTATAACATAATATCAATATTGATATGCTATTGTATGTTCAATTTTTCATTTGTCTTAATCTCTTATTGGGCATGCTTAATTAGTCACTAAATCCTGTATTTAATGATATACATAAAGGTTGCATTTTATCTCTATAATCCACTCGTGATCACCTTGAAGTTTAGTCTGTATAAATGCATCATCAAACAGGAACTAGCATCCGATAACATATAAGTATTTAAATTATTGTAAAGATAATTTCAATTCATGGATTATCTATTGCATTTTCCGATATTGTACATATATAATTTTTTTTAAAGAAACTTAAGCAGGCCCCTTTTTTATTATATCACTACCGCATACATATGGCCAATAAATCAAATCATGAATGAATATATTTTTTTGTCAATAAATTATCTAAGATCCATTTTTCACCTAGTCATCTTTTTTGCGGTGAACAATGAAACAATTGGTTAAACTAACACTGAATTTTAGAGGGCATGTAAATAAAAAATCACACACTTTCTACTTTTTTTGTACAAAGAAATAACATCCAAATGAGCTGTAATTAAAAAAAAAGAAAACTAGATCATATTTTTAAGGGTTCTGTCACAGTCAAATGTGAATTTATGCAATTTTATACATAGAAAAAATTACAAATATACCCCGAAAATTCCATTATTCCATTTCTTGTTTTAATTTTACCTATTTTTATATGAGATGTTCCTTTTTTTTTAAAACACTTGACGAGCAATACGACATCCTTCGCCCCTATACATCTAATAACCGAACGCGTTGAGATAGTCACAAGCTACGGGCAGTCTTTCGCCTTTTTGAAGGAGACTAATTTTATTTTTGTCGCAGTAGATCTTCTTTGTCTTATACCAGTTATACCTAACGTGACCATTTTTCCTGGAAACAAAACGGGATACCATTTTTTTTAAGAAAACTGGGGATGGTTGTTTAAAAAATCATGTATTATTGTCTTCAAATTAAAAATCAATCTTAATTTATAGATGGCGTCTTTCCGATATAGTACGATAATCCTAGACTACTGTTATTAAACAAACACTTGCTTTTTGGTATACTCGTTTAAGATTTCATATAACCCCAAAGTAATTGGAAATCAAATTAATTAATTTCGCATGATAGCTAATCTAGCCTATGACGCCAGTATGCGTCCTATAAAAAATTCAGCACTTCGAAAACAGGACAATTTTACGTCCCGAAGTTACTTTCGAGGATACCGGGACAGACAATCAAAAAATTGGACAGTCCCGTTAAATATAGGACGTCTGGTCACGTTAGTTTACAATGTCCACATACACAAGAAAACCACAAGGTAAGTTTCATAAGTAACGAGGGCAACATAAACGTATATTTAACGATTCGACAAACGACTTACTGGTTGCACATCCGCGACTAGTCTATTTTTGGCGTTGCCTACAGGGAATTGCTTTTCCACGTGCTAGCATCCGCAACCTATGACTTTGTTCTCAAATCGCCAACTTCCCCTAATAATTCCTTTTACACTCTTCGTTTTATACCGTTTTGTGATTGTGAATCTTTTATTGTTGTTTCGCCAGGCAGTTAAGGTTTTTTGGTTGGTTAGTTGCGAAACAATATAGGACAAATAAAATCGACTTCAAAAAGTGGAATAGCAACGTTTAACAAATCCAAGAAACTAATTTTGCAGTCGAACGACGATTAGTTCACCGTTGTTGTAAAATTTATCAACCGCTAAATTCCCAGTCTTCGGCTGTATGTATGTATGTATTTAATTAAATGTAAATCATTACAATTTGCTTATGTCAACTCTACGAAATTACTTGATTTGAATTTTTATCAGTTTCCAAGTCATAGGCATAATAAAATATCTACTTTGGTACTCTGGGATGGGATTCGAACCCACGACCTATCGCAATCCGAGTAACTGCTCGAACCACTGAGCTACGTCCTGGGTAGCTCAGTGGTTCGAGCAGTCACTAAAAGGACTAACGAATTTTGAAGTACTTTTTCCTTTTTCGCTACTACAAACCATATTTTCATCAATGTTCAGGCAATCCACCAGTCGAAAGAATTTCCTTTTTTACAAATATTTTAAACTTTCAATAAAGATGAAAGATGAAATTGTTCAAATATAATAATTATTTAATATACCTTTGAATCAACCACCTTTTGTTACCTACCTATTCAGGTCTTTCGACTGATAACACGAATAAACGAAAGAATCTCACCAGCTCTAATAGAAGTAACGAAATTTACAATGTTTTTCTTTAAAAGTATGTATTTATAAGAAATATTTAAAGATCAGTGAATCCTCGAAGTTTGAATCTAGAATCTTAGAACATTTAAAACAATTCGTTATTATTTTTATAAAAAATTTAACACATGATTTATAATAAATTTCTTCGCGCAAAATTTCTTCGCGCACTGGTTAAATTCAAGAAGTATACAATACCATCTAAAAATCCTTACCCAAATCCTTCACATAGTAATTTAGAAGTTATGAAAAGCTTAAAAGGACACTATAAATTAATAACTTCCAATCAGTTTTGTACAACGTAATAACGTCCAATCAAGCTGTTACTTAAAATTGGAAAAAACATCTTATGTCAGAGAAGAAAAAAATAGAAATGGTTGGCCGTTCTATGGAACATTTGAAACCCTTCAATAACAAATGTTCCCCCAACTGCAATAAGAATTTTGTTAAGCCAAACTTATTTTTATTTCTATTCTGTTTAGAGTGATTTTTAGGTCAAGGGTCTTTTTAATTTTAAGTTTCTTTTTTAATTTCATACCTTTCATCTTTCTAATACTAAAAAACAGATCTCAATATGATGTCCATAAAAGAGGTTATTGATTATAAAACACTCATCAAATCGGCATATTCGTGTATTAAGCTATAATGCTGTACGTACAAATAATTAAAAGAAAAATTGCTACTTCGTTTTAGTGAAGTACTTGTAGAAAGGTCCTAAATTGCTTATCTG